AATCAACTCACATGGCACGGTAAGTAAATTATAAATTAGACATGACTTGAGTAAATACAGAATCATTACACTATTAAAAGGAATTATTATTTTTACTGAATTATCCAGAGCAGTTATTGAGGAAGAGATTTGAACGCTCTCAAAGGAGTTTTCCTGGTTTCTTTTGCAGGACCATATCTCTAAAGACTCCAAAAAACTGAAGCACTATTGCATGCCAATGGTTGACAGAGTAACGCTGGAATGCCAATAGACCAGGAGGGAGGCACTTGATGGGGTGTCTGTTTAACACATGCACTGCTTCTCCTGGGAGGACAATTCTTGGCAAGACGCGGTGTACACACAGGTACTGAGTATAGACATTTTTGAGTAAACTACCGTAAGTGGAGGTCGAAAAAGTTGGGACACTAAACATGAAATTACGAAAACCGATCTCTCTCCCCTCCTCGATCTCCCCTAAAACAATGTGAACTTTCCAAGGCGAGGTGAGTGTTTAGTTTTACCAGCATTGTTAAAGGGAGGAGGGAAGGTTCTGTGTACAGACTTGAATTGGCAAGAAGTGTTCTCGCTTACCATAGTTGGATATTGGATATGTTTTCAACAAGTGTCCCAAGGCGTTTTGATCCCCCATAGTAGAAAACAAAAGAATGATTAAGCCGAGTTTCCAGAGGTGTTATTGATAATATTACCTCGATTTTTCATCAATTTTAAGCTCTGAATTGAAGACCGACTGAGATGTGTCGTACTGTCATCAAGTGAAGGAGAACTGGACCTAGTTTGGTGAATTAACAAGCTTCCGTATATGGAGTCATCAGATAAAGAATAAAGACACTGACTTAATGAAACTTATTAGTTAGTGAGGCGTTATGTCTGTAGTGCCGTAAAAAGTCTTTTATAGCTCATTTAAATCCAATTCGGTCCGTACAGCCAGTCATTTTTTAGCTATCGGGTTAAGGCTTGGGTATAGTAATTGCTCCGTAATCTGCTAAATCAAACCAGCCCTTGCCACTCTTTTTTTATGTTTAAAATCAAGTTATGGTTTATGAGGTCATGATCAACACCAATTGTCTCCTCCATTTCCTTTTAAATTTTACTCAAAGTGCATGAATATGGTATAATGTCCACATATTCCCGGCTCGTTTAATTTATTAGTATTTTTCATTTCCTTCGTCATGAGATCATGTTTATGCACTACCCTCAATAATTTCCTTTTAACAGGCTTATGTTTCCTTCCAGGTCACTTTTGCCTGCTATTCTCTGCTAATCTAAGATCCGCCTTTAAATAACACAAAAAAACTAGTGGCCCATAGTTACTGAAGCATTTTTGGCAGAATGCGAGTACTTTTTGATTTACCCAATGGCCTATTTCGGTGGTCTTTTTATTAAGCAGGCAATTTTCGATCAGGTTTTTTTGCCACTTTGTATTTTGCTTTTGCGTTCGAGCAGATATGAAGATGCTAGTACCGGTCAGTTTTATTTTGGCAAAATCGAGCGGGCGAAACTTTGTTTTTCTCTCTACGAGGTTTAGATTCATCTGGCATTTGTTGGTTTTTTGGGAGATGATTTGATTCCATTTTTTATTTAAAATGTTGTAAAATTTTATAAGGAGGTTAAATGCATAAATACTTCATAAAAGTCGTATCATTTTCAGAATAAGGGTTAAAACATCTTTTGGAAAAGGTTTCCAAGCCTAAGCATTCACTAGTTGTATTCTAGGAGGAAATTAGATCATTGTTAAGTTTGTGGAGAGAAAAGCACTAAAAGAATATTAAACTAAAGACTTGAATTTCAAATTAAGCGGAAATCAATCGATATTTAATTTTATAGTTTCCTTTTTATAGAAATTTTAAAAAGGAAAAAAAAAGTTGGACCGCGTAAAGTAACTCAGCGCTTAACTGGAGCATTTCGAACTTTTTGCTTTAACAGCTTTCTAATTCTAACAAGTAATCGTCATGAAGTGAGCAATTTAACACAAAGCATTAAAGAGTTCTGAATGCTCCTTTTCTGTTTGATTTCCACTAGCTGCGCGTGCGGCCTGCTGACTATTTGGTGTTATGAAATTTAAGTCTTGCAAAAAGTAGGATGTTAATTTTATAGGAAGAAAAAGTTAGATTTTGAATTTTGTTTGTAATTATACAAAAAAAAAAAAAAGAATTTTAAAATGTGTTTTCAGCCATGTAAATTGGGAATCCGTTAGATTTTCTTTGTCGCAAAACTTATTTCATTTGATTAGCTGATGTAAAATGTAACTGATTTCTGACGTTTAAGTGACATGGGAACAAATTAGTTAGAAATTAATATTCTGATGGCACGTTGAAGAGGTTCACGTGGCATTATGGTAGTTTTGGATTATTTAGGCGTTTCGCGGGAAAATTAAGTCATTCTAGGTCGGTCAGTCCAGTTTGATCACGTACATTTTTCTTATTTGATGTAATTTTGTTTTACAACTCTATAAAATATCAGTACATTCATTGATTTTTCTGTGGGATAAGTAGTGTGACTTGGTTAGTTACTCTTTCCTCGGGGTATCGTGCTGCTGCATTAGATGAGGAATATGTTTCCACATAGTTTTTGGCCATCTCTTAAGAATGGTTTTTTAGTGGTTTTTCGTATCTGGCGTAGCACAGGATCCTTTAGTTAGAATCCTTCCGTTTCGGTGAATACATGCACTGCTTTGTAGATTGTATTAGGATGCGTATACTACAAGACTGGCTGACTCATCCTAAATAAACTTTTGACATTGAATATCTATTCTGAGTGTGGTCAGAATATTTAGGAATGTAGAAAGTTGATGGACAAATTTGCTTTTGACCTACTGGATAGGAACTGAGCACCTCAGCGGACGATTATCAGTGAAGGGATTGTAAAATAGTAACTGCTTAAAGCAGACTGATTACGCTCTAACGGAAAGACTTCATTACCGCTTAGTGTACTTGAAATAAAGACTGAAAGTTCTCTTTACTCTCTTTTCGTCATGAGGAGTGGGTAGGCGCAGAGTCACCCTCGCTTCGCGGGTAAAATCCAACTTAATGGCAAATTCAACACGCTTTCCAAACAGAGCTCACATGAATCGCTTGTGTTTCGTCCTATTTTGTTATCTCCTCCCCCTCCCCCTCCCCCTTCCTTAAAAGGAGGCAAAAGGAGGCAGTGTGGCCGAGTGGTTAGAGTGTCGGACTCGTAATCCGCCGCCCCCGGGTTCGAGTCCCACCCTGACCACTAGATTTGTTTCACAGTAGCCCCGTGTTCAGATCCTTGGCCACACTTGTAAATAGCCAACTGGTTTTCCTCCGGCCGGTTGGGGTTCTTAATGATATTCTTAATGATGTGATGTTCATTTAGATGACCATTTGTTTCATTTGTTTGCAAGGACCACAATGGAGACTACTGGTTCACCAGTAATTGTAAAGGCCATTAAATTTGCTTTTTAACGCAACAAAATACCTCAGAGTCAGTTGAAACTAAAGGTTCGGAAAGTTAAGGGGTTAAGGTCACCTCTGTTATAGAACTTTTCAATAGGAAAAAATTTCGTAAAGCGGAATTGAATGAATTGATCGGACAGTTCTGATCAGAAACGAACTTTAGCCAGTTTTAAAATCGATCCCCTAGTTTAGTAAACACGAGGGGAAAAATCAAGCGGAAATTATTCCGATCAACATCTGAATAAATCTACCCTCGACAAATGAGGATTAGGAGGTAATTGTCGGCTTCTTGGTGACCGCCTTTTAAACCTAATGTTTTAATTATTTTTTGCGTTATTTAGTCTTTTAGTTCTCTACGTTAACTCTGCCCTCTACACCAAGAAAAAGCGCAATTCTCCAAGACATTAACGACGACTCAAAATGTTGTGAAGCAGTCTCTTTAAAAAGCTATGTATTTTATTTCATTTCATATATCAAATGTTAATTTAACAAAGCAGACAACATTGATTACCTGTACATTATGACAGAAAATATCAATATTTTCTAATTTTTTAAGCGCCAGATCATGTTAACTTGACAAATTAGCATTGTTGTGGGCCTCTTCGTTTTCGCATCGACCAGAAGCTTAATTAAAACAAGTTGCGGTTGGGTAGAAAGTTTTTCTCTTCAAATCGCTATCATGTTTATGTTTATTAGTACTTTATATGAGATTCTGCTCTTTAATTCACTCTCAGTGTTTAACGATCAAACTTTGCCCTTGAACTTGTGATATTTAGTGTAATCCGCGTGTAAGGAATGAAATAGCTCCCGCGATCCTTTCTCTAGGACAGCGTGTAACAGCGACAGCTCATGCTCACCACACAGTTCAAACAAGCAGTAAACACCAGAAGTGAGAGCGTCCTATTGAGAGCGAAAAATAAAAAGTGGAACTTCTCACTTACTTTTTAGTTTCAAGGAATACTAAAAAGGCAAGGGAGATCTGCTACTAAGTTCACGGCTAATGCAAACGAAAAATGTGTCTTTCTCTTCATTTGATTCATCTCTGACCTTCAATGAATAGGTACATAAATCGGAAAAAAAAGTCCTTTCCTATCCAAAACAAAAAAAAAACATGCTCTCTCTGCTTTCGCTTAAGCGCACGGCGTAAAGCGTAATGTCTGCTCCTTTCAGCTGGCTCTGGTAATTCCTGGTTTGTTCAAGACTTTATAACTACAAACAATGTCACCAAACAGTTTTCACAGTTGATCTTACCCTAACAGGTGAAGGAACAGCAATTGTTTGAACGCCACGAATGTAGTCAGCGATCATGTACGGAGAGTACTATAAGCAAAATAACTAGAAGTCAGTAAATGCGAGAAATTTGAATTGCCGCCAACAAACTCTGTAGAGTCATCTGTTACAATTGAGCACGATCAGGGAGCTTCGAACATAAACTGTAGCTCCTTTTTTTTTTTTTTCTGATCATTGTATTATTCTGCTTGCTTAACTCTTTTACACCAGAGAGTCACTGGCTTCTAATTTCATCTTACTTATCAGCCTCGAAATCAAATAGAAAGGTCATGAGAATACAGAAAGTGATCATCAATTTGGGTAGCTCTTAAATTGTCAAACAAATTGTTTTTTTTTTTTTTAGTACTAGAGGAGATGTAGATAGAACAGTGTGGAGAATATGAACACCAATGTCAAAGTGTGAACGGTCAAACAGACGAACAAAATGGAACAGAAAATCACACAAACTAGATTATACCTTGGAAAAGGCGATTTTATGCGTAGAAATTTCTTGATATAATCTGTAATGGAAAAACAACAAAAAAAAGCAATTCAATTCATGTGGAAGAAAGATGTGTGTAAAATTGCCAATCGTCAGCCTGTCCGTTAGCTGTTTTAATCATTTGAGTCCCAAAGAACTGTCTACAAATAAAGACCTCTTATGGATAAAACTGCCAAAGATATCGTGCATATGCGTTATTGTGTCAACGCTCTTTCCTGAAAAATGGCAAATCGCCTTCTTGAGCTGTCAGAAAGAGATTCTCCAAAATTATCATGAAAAAGAAAACCAGTAAGAAAATGTTAAATCGATCTGTGAACTCGGTCATCGAAAATTGTTGTTTTGTTAGTCTCGCTGATCACTTAATAATCCCCTGGCTGGTGACAAATCGCGATATTTTGCTCACTCTGTACACTAACTGTTGATTATTAAGCTCTGGCAGCTTTAGACCAATTTTCAATCGAGTTTCGAAAGTAAACCTAGATTACATTGGTTTGGCTTCACGGCTTTTCTCTGTGATTAGTTTACAAATCAAACGCCACTATCTCAACCAATCAGATGCAAATAATGAAACTAACATCAATCACGACTTGGCCGTTTGCGTTTTCCTGCGTTTTCCAGCGCTTTCAACAGTTTCCTTGTTTTCCTTTTGAGCTCTTATTGGTTTTGGTTCTACGACACTCAATCGAAAGGCGCGCTATCTGCTAACTAAATCAACGAACTCACCTTGCCATCTTCTGCGCGCTTTGCACAAGTTCAGTTGGTTTCAGTCTTTCCTCTGACGTTTTATCTTCATTTCTTTCCACAGCAGCTTCACTTTGAACATCACATCCTTGTATCAAACTTAATAAAAGATCTAAGTTCAAGTTAAGGCCTTCCACATTATTCAAATTCTTTAGAAAGTGACAATGTGTACGTGGCTCCTTACCTAAAATCTCAGGGTAGACATGAATTCTTTCTCGCCTCTCTCTCCTCCCATACTCCTCCAGTTTCATCCCCCCGTGCACTTTCTCTCTCTCCTCTTTCCTATTTTAAACACTCCACAAAAACAAACAATCATGCAGTCAAAGGATACTCCGAACACACGTGATAAACACGTGCACAGCTCCATAGACGGCTTCAGGGTGTTGAAAGAGCAAAGTACTCAGTAGAGAGTACTGGGACTCGAACAATCGCGGAAAACTCCTGTCATTAGCTACAAGCTTGATCAAACCACTGTGCAAGACAACGACTGCGTTATGGGGAAGAACCATTCCCTGAAATTCAGAATTAAAAATATAGGGCGATCATTAAATAAAAATATAGAGTCGAAACCACTAACTATTTGCCTTTGGTTTTTGCCATCGAAAACAGTGACACTTAGAATATTTTTTTCGCTCAATGTGTCGAAGGTAATCTAGCACTGCAATGTTATTAATCTGTTACGCTCTGATTGGTCGAGAAAACTCTCAACATCTCAGCCGATCCATCGATAAACTTAAACCAATCGTGACAAGCCACTTGCGTTTCTCTACGCTTCAGGCACTTTGCTTGTTTTTATTTTGAGTTCTCATTGGTAATATTTTCATTTTATCGGACTAACTGTTGCGGTTACTTTGATTTTGGTGTTTACACGCTCACTTGAAAAAACACCATACACAACACCACCCTGAGGTTACGTTTCTGTACTCTGCGACTCTTTTAGAAACACACGCTACCGTCTCAAAAAATCAATTGCAATCAGATTCGATCAGATGCAATCAGACGCAATCAGATGCAATCATATGCAATCAGACGCAATCAGATGCAATCAGATGCAATCAGATGCAATCAGATGCAATCAGACACAAATGTTGAGCCAATTATATAACCTGGTTGCCTGCGCTAGGGCCGTTCTCATTAGTTCCTCGTGATAATTTTCATTCTCCTGATTACAACTGGTGTTCGGGTTATTTGAATCAAGCGAAAAAGATCCCCGGGAAGTGAACTGCTATTCAAGCAATTAAAACTACTTGTAACACGAAGAAACGAGATATAGTTCGGCAAACAGACTACAGACCTTTCCAAGGGAGAGAATCTTTTCCATGACTTCAGTGGCCAGATTGACAGCCGTGAGGTTTTCGCTTTTTAATTCTTGTAATACAGACTGTACTGCGAATAAAATCTGGCAAAAGAAAAATGAGATGCCAGTCAATAATCGACGCTGGTTTCCACTGACTGCGTGTGTAAACTTAAAAATAAGCGCACATTCAACAGAAACGTTGAACCATTTAGAGTCGCTATTTCAACTTGCCTTAATCATTTGCTTAATACTTTTTTTTTTTTCGCAACATGTCTGTTCCTTGGCCAATAGTCAAACCAAAACATGTAACTCTTGGTTTTGTCAACCGCGCTAAACTAAATGTACCCATCCTTGATTTAAAACGCAAGTGATCCTATATCGTCTAAGACAGGAAACTTTTCATACAGCGAACTGTACAGTGCTCGTCACTGATCAGAGGTGAGTCGGACAAACCTTGGGTAATTTTGGGCGGAGTTCCTTTCTTCTGTCTTTGGTAAATCGTCCACTCAACAGACGGAGCCAAACGCGAAGAGCTACACTAAGTCGTTCAAAACAAGCATCACCATTGTTCTTCATGGTCTGATAAAAAAGAAAAAAAGAAAAACCACCTGTGACTTTAAGTTGTCCAAGAAACAGTGGCGTTGGCAAGGTTCTTCAATCCAAAGAGCTTAATGCTCAAATGCAGAAAATTGCCATAAAGGAAGTACCCTGCTGGAAGAGGCGTTTATTTGTTAACTTCCTCTATGGTCCACGTAAAAATAAAGTCCTCTGCGCTCGGCCTGTTAAATCTTCTTCGAGCATGCGCGGCCTGTTGCTTAGAAACAAATTAGTTCCAGGTAGTACTCGGCCAGCTTTGTAGGATGCGTGCGCATAAAAACGTGTTTAAAACAGGTTTTAACCGGTTTTGCAAACCAGATTATCCACAAACTTGGATAATTACCAGGTACATGATCGAAGAAGATTTAACAGGCCGAGCGCAGAGGACTTTATTTTTACGTGGACCGTAAGGGAAGTTAACAAATAAAGGCAAAGGCAATTTACTCACAATTTCATCTCCTAATTGTTCAAGCAGTTCTGGTAGAAGGTCAGGATCGCATCCTTCAAGCAGTGACACAGCCAGACGATACCCCTCCTTCGGAATGCTTTCACTATCGCAAAATCTGTCTTGCGCTTTCATAGACTGTTCTATCTTTTCACTCTGATGGATGCCAACCTCTAAAACACGAAGGCTGTTGTCTTTTTCACGGTCTTCTGTACGATTATTCTTATTTTGTTCCAGCTTCCTCAAAAAATAGAGCGTCGAAGCCAGAAGTCGAACGTGAAAATCTACTGGTAAATGTAACTCTAAGCAGGACATACACACCACTCTGAGGAAACGCAGACAGGAACGCACGATTCGAACCTTAAAGGAAAAGTGATGGTTAATAATCCTTTAAATAATTCTTAATTAATTCCAAAAACGACATGAGCACAATAATCGTAAAGGTATTGTTATATACTTTTAAGCAACTTCTACAAGTAGCTATTTGCTTGGGAAATGATCGTTTTGAAGGTGCTTCCCTAGTTGTCTGTACTTCTGCTATAAGCGCACCGCGTTTAAAAAAAAAAAAAACAAAAACAAAAAAAACAAGAAAAGAACGGGAAAAACGCTTGTAGTCAATGGCGAAACAATTAAGCCCCAGAGAGAGATGGTCGTTTTCTTCTAAACAAGCGGAATTTGGAAGTTTCGCCCCATTTCCAGCTCTGTTAAATTTGATGGGATCAGTTCACCGTAATGGGGGCAAACTGGTAAGTGGCAAACTTGTGATAGGGTGAATCCTCTACAAGCCGAGCGAATTGATCCAAATTGTTCACCCCACGACATCGTGAAGGTTACCTTATTCCCATTCGCTGAAAGTGCTGACTCCATCTGGTCCTTCTCGAAAACATAATGCACGACTACTGCTAGTATGACGTCAAATACTTCTTGCCATTCCCTCTGCTTAAAAGCTTCATTCACACGAATCAGTTTTCTGAAGACGGAATTAATGACAGTAGTAGTTTGCATAAAGAACTGAGGTAACCTTCAAATGAAAGGCGAAAAATAAAATCGAAACATATCTGTTTGTTTATTTTTATCGCAATTACAAATTCTATTTTGCTTTCAAGCAATACAAATAGGTGTTGAAATATCAACGATAAGATTTTCACGACAGCGCGCTTAGTATGTCAAGTAGCACATGTAAAAATTTAAGAGAAGAAGGGGCCCGATAAATTCATTTGCCATTCAGCTCATTCAAGATGTGGTTCACCAAATTCTCCCTTCAAAGACATCAGCATTTCCTTGTTTATGAGTTACAATCATTTCCTGATACGAATGTATATTCTCGCCACCTTTTTTCAATGGATAATTCATTAAATTGTAAAGAGAATGTGCATGTGGTCACATATATTTACCTGGACTGTTCGGAAACCGAGTAAATATGGAGCAGCGAAGTGAAAGAGTCGATATAGTCAGGCCCTTGACAGAAATAAACAGGTAAAGTGCTTTCCTCAACATTTTGGCCATTATTTCTCTGTTTCCATCGTGACTTGTGAACAATTTCTCTCAGTAGCTCGAGTAGAACTGGGCCAAGTTTTATCATCACGTCGGACGAAATCCTGATCATCTTGTTCGAGGCTATCTTGCTAGAAACAACCTGAGGAAAAAAAAAATTGTTTACTTTAGGAAGCTTTAAGGCCGACTAGTTTATCCGGGTACAAAAATATCCATCCTATCGCGAACTTCGAGCCTCATTCGTATGAGTGTATTTACTTTGACTGTCGCGAATCCAAAACGAGAAAAGCCGATCACAGTTAAGGCAACATCTCGAGGAGCCAATCAAAACCCGCGTAAAGCGCGGGAGAAGAACGCGTGGTGCCTTTCTTTTATCCCCGACTTGATAAAGGAATCGGGCGTAAAACACCAGGGTAGACAACATGTGCACCAAGAAATATTACACTCACTTCTTCACAAAGTGCCAAAATTCCCTCTACAATGACTGAAACTACATGATGAGATGTTAAAGATTTTTCCAAAGAGTCCATTGACGCATCCCTTACTTCTGCACAGAAAGTCTGTAACTCATCTGTTAGCTGGAAAGTTTGAAAAAAAGTAAAATACATAAATACTAAATAAATAGATACACAATTAAGCATCAAACTATGTCCTTGTGACCACACTGAATAAACAGCGGAATTTTGGGAAGGAGAGTTATGTTGTTGGCAAGCACAACGCATGCGTGATTAATGAGTGAAGCCTAGCTACTACGAGGTCCCGTTTGGGAACGGCGGGGGAAAAGGCACAGTCACGGTTAAGTTTAATAGAGGATTCGCCGACTGGATTATCCTTAACAAAAAGTTTTACTTCGTTACCCTGTTCAAAATGAAAAACTGTTACCTTCCCTACAAGGGCCGTGAAAATCCCATTGCATTCCCATCCGAATTAGTAATCACAAAGTCACCAGTTCAATTTTCCAAATGTTTGTGTTACTTACGAAAACCATCACCTTCACAGGCCTGAAATTTTTTTTTTCAGGTCTGATTTTCACTATTGCTCAAATAGTGCTTTACTGCGAAGGATCGTTCTCATATACCTTCACAGAGTGTCACAACGCTCAAAATATGTGATCGTTACCCTTTCTGTGGTCTTCTGAACTGCATTGACAGTTTGATGGGGAGCTCTAAGAAGGTACTTGAATGTGGAGAAGAAAAGACCTCTGGTTTCCCTTAGCATGAGATTCATAGCGTTTGCAGTAGCTGGATTCTGGCGGGAAACACATAAGAAGTAAAGTGCATAGCCCTTGAAATATCGAATAGTCATAGGCATGGATAGTTAACCATTTGACCCAAAGAGTGACCAGCATCTTAATTCTCCTGAATCACACGTTAAGGTCACGAGAATAAAGGAAATGATCACCAACAAAGGAAGCTCTTGATTTTTAAGCAAATTCTCCTTGTCAGCACCTTGGAAAATGTATAGAGAACAGTATGGAGAATATGCATACTGATGTTATGGTGTAAACAGTTAATGCACAGGGTGTACAATCGATTCCCTTGCACCTAAGCGTTTTCTAGCCTGATAAAAATGAAAGCAAGTGCTCTCGTGTTCACAAACTACTCTGGTAATGACAACTCGACATCGAGCAATTAATTGAAGTATACAAATATGACAGAAATCTGCTTAAAATACTAGCAACATTGGGCAATAACCTACATCCCGATAGAGACTTTACCTGCACACTACAAATATTTAAAGAGAAATCTAAATCGATACTAAAATGACTTCAATTCAATGATGTCATCTTTTCAGGTAGCTATAAGAACTGGAATGTCAAGTACATAAAATTTACAAAGGTCTTTGCAGCGATTCCAACAACTTTAAGATACGAAAATATTTTATCTGGTGGCGCGGCTAACGGTTATTATTCTCAATAAGATACAATCAGGAATTGGCATTCTCACCGTGTGTCTCTGTCGCCATAGTCTGGTAGCCGAACCAATAAGCCAAGAATGTAGCGAATCCAAGTCGAGCACATGATGCGCTACAAACTTCCGTCTGGTGACGCAGCCGTCGAATAAAACTGTAAGGAGATGGCGGCTCAGTAAAAGAGGCTTTAACGTGTCAGAAGAGCAATCCTAGAAAATTTTACAAAGTTCAAATCAGAAATGGAAACGCGATCGTTTTTATAATGCGCGCTTTTCGTTTGAGTGTCGTAAATTAAAACAACACTAATCAACACGACTAATCAACAGCCACGATCTATCAGGTTCTCTATTCTTCCCACCCCTAGGAACGAAATCGAGCCAATCAGGATAAGATCAACATTACAAAGAACCAATGAGAACTCAAAGAAATTCACATAAGCGGCCTCAAGCGCGGGAAAAAGCTAATGACCGTGCCGCGATTGTTCTTCGTTTTCGCATCTAATTGGTTGAGAAGATGGCTTGAATTTTCCTAACCAATCACACAGCGCAATTACTGTCCATACCTGGAAAATGTTAGAACCCAGGAGAACATCACAAGAGAGCAGGCCAATCAAACAGCGAACACGGTTTTCATCGGACAGCCAATCAAGAGGAAGAAAACCCAGAACCTGAAACACACAAAAAAATATGTTTCGCTGTCATCAAAAGAGATTCACCGAGCACAATCTTAGAATCCGGCTCACTTCATTGCCTCTACAGCAGCCGTCGCTTAGCCTGATCACGTTACCTGTTGCGTGACAAGATTCACTTAAAACAGAGACAAATGAGCACACTCCGAGTGTGATAGTAACAAGCGCAACAGAAGCATTGGCAGGAGGAAATCGCCATCCATACCAAACCTCCAAGGAGGTTCTCAGCTATACCTTTAGATGTTGCAGGATCTTCTTAGCTGATTCTGGCCGGTTGGTACAAGGGACTTCGGCAGACAAAATGCTGTTAGAGATGTTAGTTATGTCATAACAGAGAGAACGGAAGGGTTGCAAGTTATCCACACGTGGTTCGTCACTCTCGCGAGTTTCGTTTGCTCTAACATCTTCATTCTCGTCTCTCTCGTAGTCTGAACTTTCTTCTGCTACAAAGGCAACGAAAACAATAGCAGATGCAGGTTACATAACATCATAACTCTGGGCGTCACTTGCTGGAATGGAGAAGAAAAAAACTGATAGAAAGAACGAGAAAAAAAGAAAAATGGAAAAAAAATTGCGTTATTAAAATAAAAAAATTATATTGTTTGCAAGCGTTCCTATCTCTTTCATTTTTTTACCATAAAAATAAATTTCTACGAGACCGCCAAACAAGGTTGCCAAATTGACGATTTTCATGATAATTTTTTTTTTTTTTTACTCGCCTCAATGATTAACGCAGCTACAGCTCAGAAAGCTGGTTGTAAAGAAAGAGCTGATTAGAGGAAGGAGAGGGGGGGGGAGGAGAGGGGGAGTTGCAGCCTCATTTCAATAGATCAGCAAACACATGTAATTACCACTTTGTTCGCTCTCTGAATCCACCTCAATACTTCCTTCTTGTTCATCGTCAATGGCTCGATCATCATCGCACGTCTCTGTCAAAATTCCGTCGACTGAGACGGCTAGTGTTGCAATACTAGAGAGAGCGTTCATCAGTCTCCCTGCTGGAATATTAGTACTGCTGGAGAACAAGAAAAGACAAAACTCAAACGATGTCTTTTTCACGAATAACTGGTAATGGCGAACATTTTTCAGTGTAAGAATAACAAAAGATACCAAATACTAGTGTAAGAAGTCGCTGACGTTAATTTTCATTAATAAGAAAAGGCTGCGTAAGGATTGCTCTTAATTGCAAGAATTTAGTCTTACTACTCCTGACTGTCTATCCATTGTGAGAACTAAGTCACCGAGTATGAATCATATTCAAAGTCAACCCTTTAAAAAACATGTGCACAAGATGAAAACGTGCGCGCTAAAGCGAAACATGTCCCCTCGCACGTTCCTCGCGCGTGTTGTTCTCACAGATAGTAAGAGACTTCCTATACAAACTGAGTGTAAAGTGACTCCAATTCCTAAACAAGTGAACCCGTCTTAGTTGTCTACAAGCGAAGCTTAAAGGGACAAGGCTGACACTTAAAACGCCGAGATTTCGAAGCTTGGCGTAAGGGCGGTTAATTCAATTTCATGATCAACAAAGTGTTTGTACTGCCTTCTGAAAGTTCACAACCCGGTTCGCTCTTGAATACTTACCATTCACCAGAATCGATAGCATGTCTAAGGCGACCCCAGAGAGCACAGACTGTACTGGACTGCATGGCAAGCATTTCGTGAAAGCTCGCATTTTGAATCAATTCCATCGATACATCAAGCATGGTTATACACCTGAAATAAAAATAATATAATCAAAATAAATGAATAAGTGAATAAAGGGATGAATATAGATTGACATCAATAAAAACAACTAATTATAGATACAGTGGACAACTTAGAAAGTTCCTTAGAATTAAGTCACGAATGGGCATCTTCTATAATACCTACTAAATAAAAATTGACTAAAGTTAGAGCAATTTCAATTGAGTCTCAAAAGTAATCCAGGTTTTTAATGATTTTGCTTTACTTCTCTCTGTAATTGGTCTAGAAAGTTCGCGCCACCGTTTCGACCAATCAGATGCAAAACTTAGACCAATCAAGGCTTGGTCGCCCGCGTTTTCCCGCGCTTTAGGCAGTTTGGTTGTTTTCCCGCGCTTTAGGCAGTTTGGTTGCTTTCCCGCGCTTTAGGCAGTTTGGTTGAGTTTACAGTACTTTGAGTTCTCATTGGCTCTTAAGGTATTTCCATTTCCTGTGATTAGCTTTGAGATTATTTTGGTTTGGCTTCACGACACTCCATCGAAAAGCGCTCTATCAGCTTGGATACAAAAGATTGTTACAAAGAAATTATCGTTTCTAACAAATTTCCTCACTCGTCAGAATGAGATAGTTCTATTACCGAAAATAAAATGATTTGGTTCTACAAGTTTCTTCATGTAGCCTACCCTGGTTGTGTTTGTTCCCCATCTGGCGTTCTCTGAGTTATAGTCTTAATGATCAGATGAGCAATCTGTAATTGATGGTCAGCGGTACACAAAGGGAGAAGCACCGCAGCATGTTTGCTGATCAAATCCCATAATGCAACTGGAGCGTTTTCTTGACATATCGACCATTCCTTATTTGCGCAAAGACAAAAACAGAAAAAGAAAGAAAAAGATGTTTTCTGAAGTTACTCTCTAGATCAAGTCTACCTCCCTCACATTTTTTTAGGATCTGAAGTACTTTCAGAAGTCGATAAACACTGAAGTTACAGATATAAATTCTAAAAAAAGGAATGCAATTACAATCTCTATTTCACCTACCAGTCTATCCCACGATGCAAGGCACCAAAGCGTGTCGTTGACGGGGCTGCAAACACTAGACACCAGTCTCTTGAGCTCATTCCCTTTACCCTTTTCCTCTGCTGTTTTGTTTTCGTGGAGTAAAGCATATCTGATGTTCTGAATACACAGGGCACTCTACAAAACAAGAAAACGTTACATTTACCGAATGCTCTACGTGCCTGGTGACTATAGTGCTAAGCTACTAATCGAACAGGCTCGCTGGGTTCTTAGAGCCCAGATCTCTCTCCGCCTATAAACTATCCGAAAAATCTGACGTAAGAATGGGCATAACCTGCCATGCACCAGTATGGCAGGAGTAGGATTTTCTGTATGGAGGAGCGTGCGGAGAATATGCGTGCTGGTGTCAGGATGTAAAGAGTTAAGTGAGGATTTGGCCAAGCAAGATTTAGGGTAAGAACTTCTCTATTTGCTTGAAGAGAAATCTCACACAGGATGTTGGTATGTCTCTGAATAAACATTTACATGTCGCCTTGAACTGAGTATGGCCACAAACAAAGCATTAAAAGAAAAATCATCTGTTACAAACCATCAGGTAACGAAGTCTTCCTTTGTCTTTAGAGAGAACGGCGATAATTTCTTTGTTGCACTTTGCAGGAACAAAATTACTAATCGCATTCATCCACGTTACTGATGGTAGTATTCTAGTTGCTTCATTGTCAAAGTCGACAACTTTAAAATCTCCCAAGAACAGTTCCAGATCGCCTAAGGCCCGTTGTAACAACAAAATAGAAAAACAAGCAGATTCTTTTGCCTGAAGCAAAAAGAAGATTAAAAAAAAAAAAAAAACATCAAATAAATCCGTTCAGTTAAGCATTCATTATTGTATTGCGGTGCTGTCGGCAACAAAGTGTGTGTTACAACACACACACACATTCGGAACTCAAAGCAAAGGTAGTCCAAGCTCGCACAATGCACTGTAATTGTAGCGGACAAAGCACATGAACTAACATCAAGCTAAACGGCCTTAAATCAGCCCAGAGAACTCACACGATACCAAGGAACAACCACCTAACCGAGGTGATTTTGTTTTTATTCAAAACTAGTTCAGATTTTAGGCTGAGAGTGCAACCGTTTATTGGTATACAGCTCCTTATGTTTCGCCCGTTTCGCAACGTAAAAATATTTACATTTTCACGGAGGCTTATTGTGCGAGCTTGGGCTATACTTGCACTCAAGGCATTATGAGAAGATTTTTCCCTCCACACTCACTTTGTCATGATGAATGTTTGATGAAAGCTCTATCATAGGATGGAGCACTTCCAGTACTGAACGACTTAACAATTTTCCCACTGCTTACAATGAGGTTTTTCCCTTTCGATGTTCTCCAATCCCCACAAAACTCATGTGGAGAAGAAAGGAACAGAAGATACTTGACACATATTCCAGACGTTTCCACACTGCTACCTGTGACAAGGATTTTTTCGTTTTATTCGGTTTATTTCCTAGTGCTGCTTCCGAACCTCGCATTAAATGATTTCCCAGATAGTTTTCAGTGATTTCATTACAAAATGAGTTCCAAATCGTGGTAATTTGTCCAAGGGGAAGACTTTGGATGGCCTTGATAAACCTGAAACAGAATCAGAGAATTGATTAATCAGTCAGTCAATACATATCAATGTAACTTTACTAACTGAAGAAATGAATGCTGGAGCTAGGCATACAAAATCCGATAGCTCTGGCTAACCCCATTTCAATGAACTCCTGTACCCGAAACAACCCTCCACCCTCCCTTTCCAATCAGTTCTTTGAAAAATTTAACCAACCGTTCTAGGGAATCGAGACAATGGGGGGGTGGGGGGTGGGAAGGGGAGGCGGCGAGCTGTCTCGCTGCGGCAAGCAAAGTAACCCAGTCAGGCGGGACAACTTTACTTCATATAAACACTTCGGATCGCCTGCCCAAGAAGGCACGGCTCAAATTGTTTCCGAAGCTCACAGCTCCCTACAAACGCTCCTTAAAGTTGTCTCGAGAGTTATTCCACGTATGTCACACAGATATTAAGTGGTTTTGTCCACCAATCATCTTTCACAGATCTCGCGTTAAAACTACAGTACCACAAAGTATATCGCGTGTACCACAGAATTACAAGCGCTTGACGCGCTACCGAATTCGCGTAGACGTATACACGCATTTAGATGTGGTGAAACGTGATGACAAATGACGTATTAAAATACATGGAGTACACGCGTTACACGCGCATGACGTGCTTGAGGGCACTGCAGTACACGCGGGGGTGGGGGGGGGTACTATACCAACAAAAAGTTCAAACAAATTGTTCCCAACCTTTGGTTGAAGAATGACGTTAATCCAGAACTTGAAGGGTTCAAACTTCTCAAAGAATCCAGAATTGCCAAAACAAGTTTGTCAAACTATACGTTGTAAAAAAAAAATAATAAATAAAAGAAAAAGAGCAATTGTACCAGAAATCAAACTAAAATAACAAAGCCTGCGAGCAGACTTACAATAGAAGTCGAGTCAGAGAGAACTTTGCTTTGGCCCTTAGATATAGAGAGAGCTAAAGCAGAGATGTTTTTGGGACGCGGACGGCAACTGGAAAAAGAATGAAACTAATTCTGGCGCGCTTTGACGCCAATATATCGACCTTGCGGTCGCTGCTTTCGCATTTTAGACCAAAAAGTTGTAGTGACCATCAGGAATGAGAACTTCTAAATTCCGTTTGCCGTCTGCGTACTTTCCTGCTGGCAAAGAAACCTGCCTTGCTTCGAGGCGCTTCTGATTAGACCCTACTCGCAAGCTAATAAATATGGCTCAGAAATGCACTTTCACAAAAATTTCAATCAATCGTGAATACAGCTTCTGTTAAAGACGCATGAACTGTGCGGAGTATGTGCAGTACCTGTCGCAGTTTAACATAGGTTGAAATAAGAGAATTCATCAAAGAGCTGTGAGCATCACCAGCACTGCACTCCGTTTTCCACAGCATTTTCCAAATAACATCCAAGTGTGGCTCAACTAAGGAGTGATTCAGTTTTAGCAGAACATCAAGACACTGGAATACAGCTTTGCTGCAAGTAACAATGCAGTAAAAGGAGTATTTATAACTTTAATAGAGTTGTCTTGACATGAAGGGAAATTAGTAAGCAGCAGAAAGCAACACGCTGTCTCAGAAACATTCCACGCCTCTGTTTTTTTTTTTAGTAAGGCCTTTAAATTAATGTGAATTCAAAATAATATTTCTCCTGAAAATAAAGACAATTTTATACTTGGCCCTTTGACCCCTTGATAATCAACTAAAGAAGCTCTTGATTCTCAACCAAATTCTCCTTGTTAGTACCTTAGGAAATGTATAGAGAACAGTATGGAGAATATGCACACTGATGTCAGTGTTGAGGTAAAGGAGTCCTAAATCTTATCTTGCACCAATTTGATAGTCACTGTGACAGGTTTAAGAACTCAGAAATTAATTGCCTTTTCACATACAAAAGAAACAAGTTTTTTTTTTTTAAGTATCAAATTCATTACCATCAAAGCGGGTTAAAAATTGCAAACATTCAATCTCATGTTTGGAACTTCAGTTCAAATACAGCATATCTTGAGGGAACAAACCATTTTCTTACGGGCATCACATGCTACACACGTACCGCATTTACAGCTGGACACCTACCGTGGTTCATCTGTTTTAATTACAATCTTGACCAAACTGTCATAAAAGGTGAATTGTACCGCGCCATTCTGGCTGTCATCTGATACCTTGAAACAAGAAAACAAAAAAAAACAAAAAAGAATTAATGAACTGATATCAATAGAGAGGACTATATGGTTCATTACGTTACTAAGTAATTTGTCTTTGGAAATTCATTGTGGATATTCTTTGACTGCCTGTAGTGTCTCCAAATGAGTACTGCCTAAAACTGCTTGGAATTCTGGAATACTCAACAGGAAAAAGGATTGCTCAACCAGTTTGAAAATGCCTTTACCTATTATGCTTAAAATGAGGGACAACATTGTAATCATATAGAAAAAAAAAAAGAGGATAAACCAAAAATTATATTTCCATGGCTTCGGTGCCAATGCCTTGTGGGTCAATAATGTTGTTACCACATTCTGACGTCATCTATGATCTATTACAGAACAGATGTATAACTAATTCTTAATCAACAAATGTACGTGAATGTACCTGGTAAATATCAAAGTGCAGGATGCTTTCCAACAATTGATGAAGTAAAGTAAACATAAAAGGGGTATTTTGAGAATAGTTTCCATTCAATACACCCAGCAACAGACACATTTCTGTAAAAAAGGCAAACTCCACAGGAGAGGTAGAAGAATTCAGTTTTCTAGAAAGCAAACAAAGCTTACTGTCAATATCACAGTTTAACCCTCAGGAGTGATTAACATATAGTTTCTCCCTCCACTATTACAACAGAATCAAACACCAAGGTGATGAGAATAAAGAAAACATTTGATCTTCAAGCAGAGAAGCTCCTGACTGTAAAAAAAAACTAATTCTCTTTCTCAGCAACAAGGGAAATTTATAAGAGAACAGCATGACTAGATAAGATTCTTACTAATATTAGGGTGTAGAGACTTAACTGGGTTCTATATTAATCATTATGACAGTGCAAATTGCACCAACCTATTTGAGGTGATAAATTCTTTGTACAAAAAAGGAAGAATTTCCATAGCTGCTTCTTTTGTGCCAACAATCTCCACCTAATTGAAGTAAAATAACTGAGTTAAAACAAACAAATAAACAGACCAATATGGTCTCTATTGTGAACTCAGCAAATACAGGGTTAAACAAGACTAAAAAAAAAAAGAAGAAATTCACCTTCTTTCCTATTCAACCCACCACACAAACTGTCTGTAGCTCAGTAACAGAGCATTGGAGCAATGAACCCATAAGCCTGAAGTATTATTTTTTGTTTCTCCCACATGCATGACAACACTGAAAAAACATCTTTCAATTTGTTACACCTAACATTTGATGAAAACATAATTATAACTTCTACTTTACTCACTGTTGCCTGTGATTCTACCATTTCCCACATCTTTTCAAACAGAAGCTTGGGATAACTAAAAATTCTTGGTTTTTTGTTGGCAGGCTCCTCAGATTCAGTCTGTTTTTCCTCTAGGCCCCTGAAAGCCTGTGGATACTCTATCATGTGATCTCTGCAAGAATTAATTTTAGGGATGCCCAGTGAAAACCTGTTAACACTTTAACCCCAAACTGTGACTAGCATGCATCTGATTTCTCCTTACAAATCACCCCTGAATCCAACAGCAAGGTCACGAGAATAAGCAAAATGATCAACAACACTACAGAAACTCTGGATTGATATGCAAATTCTCCTTGTCAACACCTTAGGAAATGTATAGAGAACAGTGTGGAGAATATGCATACTGGTGTTAGGGCGTAAAAGTTTAATGTTGATTTTTCTAACTAAAGGTTCATTCAATTTAGGTCTGCTAGTCTCTAAGACAACAAGTCAGCAAGTCTGCAGGTCTGTTAAGCTGTAATTTTTTCTGCAAGTATGTCCATTGGTAGGTCTGCAGATATCTTCAAGTCTGTTATTGCAAGTCTCTAGCTCTTTAAGTCCACCTGTCTGTGTGATTTTTTTTTCTCTTAGTCTGAAAGTGTACAAGTCTTAAAAATAATTCAGTGATGGTTTCATTGGGAATGTCCAAAAATTACTGCTTGACCAACCTACGCCTGCTTCAACCCAATTCTGTAACTGTAGCTGTTACACATTGTCAAACAAATTAGCCAGTTTAGTAGGAAAATGTGATCCTGACATTTCAAGAATTTTGGTGTCTGATCAGTAATAAAAAAACCCCACAGTATGATGGGGGGGGGGAGGGGGGTAGAGTAACCTCCCTCAGGATCCACCAAAGCAAGTATGTGTAGATATCGAACAGACCTGCTGATTTTCAGTCAACTCCGAACAATTATACACATACTTATGAAAGAGGCATCTGGTGACTGCTAGCTCCACCAGGCAAGAGATTTTTTCAAGCTTCCCAATTTGCCAATTATCTTCAAGTTGTTGATCTCTGCAATGCACCATTGGTTGAGAGATCTTGGAAAAGCCTCTCAACATGTGACGCAGTCTGATTAATGGTTCAAGAAGTTGTTGGCACATGGATGTGAACACCTGACGAATTAAAGTCAGAATAGTTTACATGTAGAAAGGGCAGATCTTTGAATAGACCTCAAAGAGATAAAGTCTTTTTATTTAAAGTCAGAGTTCAACTAGGCATACCAGTAGCTCTAATTTCTATTTCTCCTGGTCTTACTGCCACAAAGTACTTTAAATATGTTTCTTTCTCCTGCAGACACCATGGAGGACTTTTTCCAAGTTTACAATTACAACAACAATGTATTTTTAATTACATGTTGCATTATCTAACCAGGAGAGAATATTGTGGATAATTAACAACTATTCACCAAAGTGGAGGTGGTTAGTGGTGGATATTTACCAAGCCGCGAAGCAGCAAGGTAAATATCTACTGCTAACCACCGACACTGAGGTGAATAGTTGTTTGAATATAATTATACTAAAACAGTGAGATGATATACACCACCGTCGTTAATTTGAGTGATTTCTTCGCTTGTCACGGATGCAAACAGGGACGCCATTTTTTCCCCAGTTGCTCGGAGGTAAATAGCAAAGGATATTCGGAGTTTGACTAGCCAATCAGAGCGCGCCTTCGACGCTATCCACTGTTTTAGTTTATACTAATTCAAGATATTCAACCAGATCCAAGACCCAGTCAAGAATTTAGAAATTCTCCCACACCTTGAGTCTTGCATTGCTTTGGAAAACATGTCTTGGAAAATATCCAGGAATCTAACATTTCATAAGCTGGCTTACATAATCTTATCTACGTATATAAGAACGATCAACCGCAGTTCACTCATATGTTTCATATGTTTGTTGTTGTTCGATAATCTTATCTAAATATATATTGTACCTATTTTTTATTTATTTACTTGTCTCTTTTCCTACTATATTAACAATTTATCCATATTTCAGTGCATGGCCAGGTGACCTCTAGAAACCACCAGGCTTATAGCTGAGGCCAGCTTGCACATAACAATATGCATACATAGATAGTAGATTAAGTGCTACAAGTGTGTGGCTTTGCTAGTTCAGTAATTATTTGATAGAGTAGAGTAGACATCTATATTTATACAGGATAGCCCCTTCAGTGTAGTAAAAACTGGAATCAACGGGGGTCCTGTTAACCACCCATCCCACCCCAGGGGAGGACATCCATCACAATAATCTCATGCGTGGGAAATTAACGTCTCCTGCCCCTAACCCTGCAGGAGATGGGACCTCCATTTATTCATCCCTATCCAAGAAGACTAGAATATCTAACCATTTCTTGATGTTATAGAAAGGTAGCATATTCTTCTCAATGATTTTAAGACCCTGAGTGTTGGTCCAGCCGGAGCTCGAACCCTAGACCTCCCACACAACAGTCCAGCGCTCTAAAAGCTCTTAGCAGTTTTTTCTCAAAGTTCAGAATACTTGACAGAAAGTAGAGTAATTCCAACAGGAATGGAATTTCAGATCTCTGGGCCTTGGTAAAGAATTCTGAATTTTTTCATATATCAGTTTGGCAATGATGCATGCGATAATTAATGGCTGCTCTGGTGCTGTGCCATGTTTCACTACTTATAAACCAGCAAGCACATTGTTAGTTTATTACCTTTCGCTGATTTGCTTGTTGCCTCTGTGCCAAAAGATACTTTTGTAAGCAAATTTCTAACAGTAAGTGAAGCTCTTCTGATCTTTCACTATATATTTGGACATACAAGGTTGCCAGGACTGAAAGAAAGGACACCTAAAATAAAGATTTACACAGTAAGATGACTGAAATCCAGTGATTAAATTATAGCATGAGACTTCACAGAATTAAATTGATGGACTCAGAAAAGTGAAATTTACTTACATAACTTTCAAATTTAGCCAGCATAGATGCACTGAGGTGAGGTGTGGACATAATGGCATAACAACAGTTGATAAGGGTGCTAATTGACTCCCCATTTTGTACAGAATCTTTAGAAATGAATGCATCTGTAAACACCTAAGAGGAACAAAGTAGCAATTCCTAGCAATATATATTTTACAAGTTGACTACTATCATCATGAGCAAAAAAAGATAACAGTATCATTTTACAAGACAGAAAAAACATATCTGTAAGGAGTTCATGACTTCCATTAGTATGCATAATAGTGAAAATGCCACAAAAAAATCTTGAAAAGTTAATATTTGACCCAAAGAATGACACCGCAGTTAACATGAGATTCGTAGAAAAATAACCATTTCTGTTGCATTAAAACTTATCTATTATAAAATATTTCTGACAATCTTTATCAGCCAGGTACATTGATAGGATGCATTTTTTAAACTTTTTTAAAAAGCATAAATTTTGTTTCACTTTGGGTATTGAAAATTGACATGTATGCTTCCCTTTGACAAGCTCAATGACGATAGCTTTTTCATTGTTGATTTATATTTAACACAACAATGTATAGTTCAAAATAGAATGGACATCCTAAAACAGAGTTTTGAATATTAAGTAACAGTTCAGTAAGAGGTATAAAGAATTTCAAATTAGTATGATGGAATGGATCCTGGATGCAACTAAATCAATACAAACCTGAAGAAATTGAGGTTTTAAGGTGATTGGAAGTTTCCCAGGACTATGAAAGTCTTTTTGATTCTGGAGAGTATGAAGCAGTAATCGGCAAAGCCCACTTAAAAACTCATGATTGACAGACCTGTTTAAAACACCAAAAGGAGTACTTCACACATGACATCTGACCTCATTTAACCCTTTATCTGCCAAGATCTGATTGTTAATTCTCTCTTCACCTCAGCTTTAATTTATTAGATTCGCTGACAGGCAGGGACACCGCAACAGCTTGCGCCAATTACTGCGGGCCCAGTAAACCCACCCATCCCACCCCAGGGGAGGACATCCATCGCACAGTAATCTCGTGCGTGGGAAATTAACGTCTCCTACCCCTAACCCTGCAGGAGACGGGACCTCCATTTATTTGTCCCTATCTGAGAAGACTAGAATATCTAACCATTTCTTGATGTTATAGAAGGGTAGCATATTCTCCTCATTTATTTTAAGACCTTGAGTGTTGGTCTGGCTGGGGCTCGAACCCTCAACCTCCTGCACAACAGGCCACTGCTCTATCCATTGAGCTAACCAGGAGGCTACACAGTTCCTTGTAAATTAGCGGTAGTTATGAGAGTGTGGTGTTGGATCAAGACAGCAACTTCTACCTAATAAGTTTAAGCATTAATTCTCATTACCAGTTTGCTGGAAAATATAAAATTATTGTAGGGTGATCATGAAGTTACGTGTTAATCACTTCTGGGAATTACAGGGTCAAGATTTTCTCCAACATGTTCCAATTTTTGTTCGACATTATCTGATGATTGACAATTACTTCTTAGCCGCGGATTGAGTCGATTAATGAAATTTCCTTTCCAGGGTCTCTACTCCTCTCTGATTATGATTGACATACAACTGACTGTAAGCTGTTACACAACTCTTGTAACACACAGGTTACTGACATTCCTTGTGAATAAATATCTCTAGTTCTTTGTGTATTCTTTATAACTACGTCTTTTGCTGATGTGTATATGAATGTACAAAATACTCACTTTGCTCCTTTCTTGTACCCAGAAATAATTTCTTGGATGATCCAATCAAAGAGAACTTGTTGCTTATTTGGAATCACACAATCATCAGAGTCCCAGGCACACCTCGCTAATGACAGCCTCTCATCCCAAGTTACTGCAGAATCTCTTAACTTGGAATAAATTCCTGAGTCGAAACGAAAAAGAAGATATTCTAAAATCAAAAATTATAAGTATGGAGATACGTGTACCAAGGTCTACGATTACGTTTAATTTGCAAGAGACGCTCAGCGATCTAACAATGTATCCACACTTCTCTCACAAGCTGATCATTGGCTTACTGTAGTCAAACTTGGGCTGTATTATGAACGTCAGAAGGCTTGAAACCTTGAAGTTTACACATGAAAATTTTCATCAGCTGATTCACGAATCATACGCCATGCTGATTTATGATCGAATCAACTGAAAAGTACTTTAAACAGATGGATCTCCTCGTTTCAGAGAGTAAGAAGCACATGCACAGTGCAACTCTGCAGTATTGATTAGTAAAGAATCAGTGGCAGTTGAGCACACAGCAGTTCAAAACAAATCATGTGAACCAGGTGAGTGCACGTGGTGACAACAGACTTGCGTTCTACGCACTGTTTCGAAATTGCATTTTCTAAACCTGCTCTACATTAATAGCAGTCGCTGAGGGATTACCTCTTGAACTTGACTTCATGATCAAGGTACGAATCACGAACTTGAAGACAATTAGATCGATTAAATTTTGGAGACCCTCAAGCCGCGAGTTCGTCCGCCATATTAGCACAAAACGCTGGTAAACTGGGGTGAGTGAGTAACTGCTGATTGATCGCGGGCGAAGTGTCACGCGATTCGAAGGAAACAGGTTGTCGACAGGGAAACTTTTTCCACGATGTCTCTGCTCTCTTATCTAATTCTCTTCGGCTTTGCTATTAATGGGATTAATTACTGGCTACAAACTAAAAGTTATCTTTTCACGCCTGAAGAGGTTTCCAAGATAGCCAAGCGCCATGCAGGAAAAGGTGAGTTTGCGGCCTGTATAATTGTTCCGGTGCGGTACTCCACGGAATTCTTGGTCAAGGTTTTCTTTCCGGTTCGCCAAATCCTGACCTTATTCAAACAAAACATGCCATTTTTCTACTTCTATTTTCGTACCTTCCCTCTATTAGAATGCAAACCGATTTATATATCTGGCTTTTTAAAGTTTTACCTGTTTTTGTTACAGGGCATGCATAATTGCGTGCCATGAAGCCAAGAATAATGGTGCGCAACAATTCACTGAAAACAAAATATATTTTGGTTTATACCTCTCTTTCTCTTGTGCTGATTTGGGGTTGAAAAAACAATCACGTTTGCACCATAACCACCTACCCCCCCTCAGCCGGTAACTGGTAACCATGCGTGGCAAATCTTAGAGCATTAAAAAGGGATACCATAGCATCAGAATGTGTAAAGACATGATAATAAAAAGGAAAATTCCTATATTTTGTACACGAAGGACAATTTTTCCATATAATTGGCTTTCAAGGGTGATCTTTCTCTTTTGTAGTTTCATGAAAATATAAATATTTTTTTCCTAGGTCAAAGCATTCATGTCATGTTCACAAAGATAGCTCTAGAACTGGAAAAAAAGTACCCAGGTCACGTCCTACCTGAAGAGACAAGACAATGGCAATTTGTGAATGCTGGAGGCTGGATGGGATCAATGTATTTATTGCATGCTTCTCTGACAGAATACGTCCTATTCTTTGGTACAGCTTTTGACACACAAGGACACTCAGGTATAGTTTAAGGAAAGGAGCAGCATTTTCTTTGACGTTATGGCTAAGTTACACCATTTTCATTAGCAAGTTATCTAATGCAAAATTTGAATGTGTGAAGCTGCACAGACAAGACACTGACGGTTGTTTGAAGTGGAGCAGGTTGGTTGAGTTTAAAACAAAACTCAAGGTAACTGATAGCAACAACAAATTGGTTTATTCCACTGATTTTGTTCTGATCCTTCGAACCCTGATTCATTAGCTTGCTCCCCAAAACAAATGAGATGTAGGTCCTTCATCAGGAGTGTAACCAGATATATCCAAAGTAAAATTTTGTGGTGAAACAAGAATTAGAAAGCATTTTCACTGGCGAGCACGACAATTACAATCCCTGACAATCACGTGGAAAATCAATATGGTAACCATAATACCTTGTGATGAAATACAATGCTTAACTGTGTTTGTAATGCTGGACGCTTGACAGAACATATTTGATATCCTTTAGCCCTATAACTCACAAGATCTCAGACTGTTAGTTATCTTCCCTAGCTGTTACACATTTCCTTTCCAATTAGCATGAGAATTTGGTGTTAGATCAAGATAACAACTTTCACCTGATAAGTTTGAATATTCTCATTTCCCCTTTGCTGGATGGTATAGGATACTCCAGGGAGAGGTTGTATGTTAATCACTTGTGTGAGTTTAAGGGTTCAGGATGACAACTCTGTTAGTAAAGTGATAGTAAAGTTCTAATCAATACATCTACGTTCACTTGGAATAAAAGTATTGATCTCATATTACCTGAATCCTCTCAGCCTTAAGAGTGACTTACACCCATTTCTCATTAATGTATCACCATTGAATCAAACAATAAGGTCATGAGAATATATTAATAATAATAATAATAATTCAGTATTTATATTGCACAAATTAACATTATGATCAAATACACATTTACAATGTTTTGTGAGGGACTTAACAGACTGCTTGCAGCATTTTACAATTTTTTGTGAAGACCAAATTTTAATAGATGCCCCCAATTTCAATAAACAGGCCAGACCACAACATCGGGGGCTAAGTCCCCTACTCTTTGCGATAAATGTGTGGGCTCTTAATGTCCCCTGCTAACCAGTACAATGAAGATGCAGGAGATGGGGTCTATATTGTTTTTCATCCTTCTCTGAGAAGACTAGAATTTCTATCCATTTCTTTATATATACAGTAGAAAGGTAGCATGATATTCTCCTCGGTTCTTTTAAGACCCTGAGTGTTGGTCCGGTCTGGGACCCAAACCCTTGACCTCCCGTACAGAAGTCCAAACCTCTACCACTTGAGCTAACCAGGCAACAAGATATATAAGAAACAATCACCTACTTAGGAAGCTCTTTATTTTTGGAGAAATTGTCCTCTTCAGTGCTTAGCAGATGTATACTATGGAGAATGTGTGTACCAATGTTGGTTTGTAAAGGGTTATCTCGTGGAATCGTGGTATTAAAACATTCCTTTGGTTAGTAAATGTTAACAATACTTCCTGAGAACAACAAAGAGGCTTTTCTGCATCACTAGGAGTTAAAAGGACCCGGATGTGCATGATGATGACGCATGCATCATTGACTAAGCTTGTGAGATCAACTTAAAGAAATAGTAGTTGCTGAGGCTAGAATGCATTTGAATAACTTGAACAGTACTTGCAGAACAAGACATCATGTCTTGAGTATCGCATTGGACGCATGTATAGAAACTGTAAAAATGAACAGTGCTTTAAGAATCTTGAAATATATTTTGCTCTTCGAGCCTCGGTCTTATTCTGCAAGTAGTTCAAGTTGTGAGGTCAAAATGGCTGGATATTGGCCAAGTTCTTTTTTCACATTTTTATGGACTGAGGCAAAGGTGAGGTCCATCAAAAAATGCAAAAGAAGAACAAGGCTAATATTTTGGGACTTCATCGCCATCATTGTACAAAAATTGCAAACTTTGTAAATTAGCTCCATGCACTTTTTTTCTAGCACAGGATTAAAGCAGGCAATCCCAAGCCCATCTTGCCCACTTGGGTAGCCAATTAGAGTGCAGGATTTGCTATATATTTCCCACTGGTGCTGCCAACTATGTAATAAGATGAGTTATTGTACTTTTATTATTTGAGGCCTCTACTGGGCAAACATTTCCGACACAGTACTAGCTGGCTCTCTACCTCAGTGGAAAGACGGCACCCTTAAAAGTCAAGTTTATGGTCCAGGGGATCTTGTGGTTCACGGCTGTGGTGAGGTTGCAGCCGTGCAATTTTCAGCTGGAACATGGATGGTGGAATATGGTCGTGGCTTTGTTCCTTCCACCCTTGGGTTTGCACTGTGGGACTCCATCTTTAGTACACTGGATTTTGTTTCAGCTTCAAAACTGATAACAGTTTATGCAAAAGCCCTGGCTCATGAAACTGTATTCCAAGTGATGGAGATGATTGAGACACTCAGGAAGAAATGAAGGTGTAATTTTTGGTTAGAGAATAGGATCTTTTTCAATGGTTATTAACCTTCTTATGTGAAAAATATCCTCTCTGAATAGACATCAAGTGAATCTTGAATATTTAAAACAGACTGGCATGAGTGAAATTTACTTAGTTTATAAGGAAGTTGCTGTGCACAATTTGCATTCCAGAAGGGATTTTTGGGGGCATATCTATCAGTTAATGATCAGGAAAATAATCCTTAAGACTTTTGATAATGGTAGAGTTTTGAAATGAGTGTAGCGGTTGTACAGGTGACCCTTTGTTGTCAAAGAGTGAATCAAACATGCTGGTCAAGAGAATAAAGGAAATGATCACCAACTGAAGAAGCTCTTGATTATTAAACAAATTCTCCTTGTCAGCACTTTAGGAAATGTTCAGAGAACAGTATGGAGAATATGCTTACTAGTGTTAGGGTTCAAAGGATTTTATGTGTCTTAACCAGAACTTATTCCAGTTTATTCAGTACATGACATCTAAGAGGACCTCAACATTTGTTCTGACCGGCCATAGATACTCTAATTACCGGTATTAGACTTTCCACTCCCAGCTGTGACCGATGGAGGTCATCGATACATAGATTACACTTTATGTTTTGTCTACGAAAACTCATCGTGTATCCTTGTAGACCTGTAATGGCTAAGAACATTAAAAATGGGTATTAGAATCACAGTTTAAGGAAAGGATCTGCATTTCTATTTCAGTTAACAAGATGCAGGTGATAGGCGTGTTCAAAGTTCTCATGAGAGGAGACGAGCAAATCGAGAATGTGCGAAAACGCAAAATGTGGCGTTCGCGAAATTAGAGGAAACGCAAAGAAAAATGCGACAGAGCGTCCGCTTGGTCGTCTTTTTTCTGCGCTCCCGTTTTCGCTCGTTGCCACCAACTGAGAGCCTGTCACGGGCTAACGCCGAGTGAGCGCGAGGAGCGCGCCGCGTCCTGCCCCTCTTGCGTGTTACTCGCCTTTAACGCTCACATCGCGCCTGCCTCATCTCAGCTGATAAATCCACAGGCGGCCCAAACTCTCTTTGAGAACCTCACAAGGAACACAATTTGCATATCGATTTATAAGGATTTGTATGGGATTTTCTACAAGATATCCATAGAGATAGTTAAAAGTGAAAATATTAGAGATAAATGGCTTACCTTATTCCTTACGAGTGTTGCTTGCTCCTGGTGTCGTTATTTTACTGATTTCACTTGATTTAAGCGGTTTTTTTTAATCCTGGTTTTCTCTTCTTAAAGAGCCAAGTCTTCTCAAAGTCTTCTTAAAGTCTTCTCTTTAAGAAGAGAAAACCAGGATTAAAAAAAACCGCTTAAATCGAGTGAAATCGGTAAAATAACGACACCGGGAGCAAGCAACACACGTAGGGAATAAGGTGAGCCATTTTTATATATTATAATATTTTCACTTTTAACTATCTCTATGGATATCTTGTAGAAAATCCCATACAAATCCTTATAAATCGATATGCAAATTGTGTTCCCTTGTGGGGTTCTCAAAGAGAGCTTGGGCCGCCTGTGATAAATCCTAAAAAGGAAAACAATGGCAGCCGTGCCTGCTACTGAACTGATAGCTAAACAACGCGCTCCGTTATGGATTGCTTGGTATTCTAATTCACACAGTCTATGCTACTTGCTGGATTTCCATGAAGGATTCACCTTATCAAAGGACTACAAGAGTGGATGTTAATTCAATGATATTTCTAATGGTTGCAGCATACAGCAATGTTTCTTTACCAACCCTAATCATTTCATTATCTTTCATACTTGAGGCCTTTTAAGAGGGATGTAGGTATCGACGATGAGAAACAAAGATACCTTCGACTGAATTGTAAATCAGTGGAAGGTCTCTATAGTTTGGAAGATCTCTTTGCTTTTCTCTTTGCTTCTTTGTCTCCTTGTAATACAAGATTAAAATCTTGTAATCCCATCCAGAGCAGGAGCAGAATAATGCCACGAGGGTTAACTCAAATTATGGTCCTGAATAAGTACGTGACCGTTAATAAATTCTCACCTCTCTTAATCGGGTTTTCTTTCCAGGGGCACGCAAATCTGGAGTAGGATACGAATGTCGAAAGTGCGCGGTCTGCTTGAACCGTTACGAAATCTAGTTCTAAGTATTCTGTCTAAATATCTAGAGGGTTGTAAATTTTAGCAAATGGGGAAAATTTGTTCTTTTAGTCATTGAACTGTCATATCATGGAAAACATATCTGGACAAAATCACAGTAGGAAATAAAGAACTTTTATTCAAGGGATGTCTACGTTATTTGAAAATAAACGCAACCTGGAGATCTCAGAAAAGCCGGCTGGGTCAACAATACTAAAATTCTAAGATTGCAAAGCAAAATACCAAAAAAACCCCAAAGGCGGCGATATCAATGACATATCTTCCCATTAGTGTAGTTTTGGTAAAAACCCATTTGTCTGGTGCGACCACCGCAAAAAAAGTGGATTTTGCGATGTTTCTGTCTCTCTTTCTTGTTTAGTGATAAAAACGAGCGATAAAAAAATATGAACAACGTTTCGACCGCTCCACGGTCATTTTCAATTCTTTTTCTCTTTTTTTTTTCCCTTGCAAGATAATGGCGGAGCTAAAGAGGGCTTCAGCGGCCTGCCCCCCCACTAAAACTTCCCTTGTACCTCCCCCCCTATCCCCAGAGGGCTACAAGAATCTGACAGAAGATATCTGTTTGGAATTCAAACCGGGTGTTGCAATTTTATTTTATCACTTTTTTTCGTTAGTTTCATTAGTGAGTTATCGAAACCATATAGAAAAAGCCGATTGTAACAAGACGACTTTCTGAGTATTACAAGGAGCGTTCTCTTTAAATAAGGATAGCTTTCAACGTTTCCTTTCTTGTATATCTGTAAATTATAACATCATTATTGTATTGCAATTTTAAGGTGGCGACAAGTAAAAATCCCAGACTACTTGTGAGAAACCGAGACACCCTTTCTGAAAATCCGTGAGAGATATTTAAAAACGACGCGAGAAAACGCCCCATTGTTTCTATCACTTAAAATGCCCTAAGCAACTAGTTGAAATTGCAAGCTTTACATTATTTCTAAAAATACCAGGTGTAGCTGCATGAGATGGAAATGTAATAGTTTATCACACATTGTCTCGAAGGGTAGCAAAATACAGGAGAGAAATGTCGAGATTTTGTCGGGGTTTCAGGACCCCTATGGCACAATTCCACCCTCTTACCGCCCCTCCCCATCTAGTCTTCGATCCCTTGTCCCCCCTGTCCGTTGCTTATACTGGTGTTCTTCAAATACAAATACTATGTTCTGAAACATAGTAGCATTCAAACGCTGATGTTATGTTGTGACCCAGCGGCACAGATAGTTTAAGGGGTTTTTTTTTATTCAGTATTATTTTTGTTTTTACCGAGCACTCAATCAACGGCAAGTACGAGGGAGCTGTCACGCGTGTTTAAGTGTATCGCTTTCTCGCGCGTGTTTTTTAGTTTCGTTTGTTCCAAGGGCGGCCTGCTTCGCTGACAACTATACCTCTTGCATAGCATCGACATTAGTTCATATTTTCTTGGTCGACATCTGTATAACTTTGCCGATGAATTATTTGCAGAGAAATGTATTTTTTTTTTAAATCAAAATTTTTTCTTTTACCCTGACACGTATAATTATTGTTATTATTATCCTCATTATCATTATTGCTACTCGAGTATTTCTAATTAATTCTTGCAAACAGGACCGAGGATGGACGAGAACTCGGAAGCATACATACGCCGACGTCTAGGTAAAATAAAACGAAGAAAGGATGGTGTGGGTTATATATATTAATCGGAGGAGTGCGGAAGAAGAAGAGAGTTTAGAACATTTTTGTACCTCCTCTCACACGCGCGTATTACTTACCATTGTGCAGATATGCGAGGCTCTTTTGTTTTTGGTTTATTTGTTTGTTTGTTTATGGCTTTAAAACTTAAAAGTTCTCCTTTCCTTATAAAAAGATCTACAGCCAATGATGGACGAGACCCCCGATGAGTACATTGTTCGACGTGAAGGTAAAGAAGGCGCTATTCCTTTTTCTTATTCATTCGCATGTAAAAGCATCATCGGGTAGCGCAACCTAGCCTTTTCTGGAAGGGAACGTCTTTCAAAGCGAGCACAAAATGCCAAGAGGAACATTGAATAGGGTTTAAAACATCAGACCACGCAGTTTAGTCGATGTTGACCACGAAAATTAAAAAAAAGGGGAAACAAGAATAACCTAGTGAGCATGAGTTACAGGCCACCATCAATGATCAAAATTCAAAACAGATGCAAGCGGGAAAAGACATTGCAAATATTTGTTGAGAGACTGTGAGGCGGAATTTGACATAGGGATGGAAAATAATGTCATTTGGCTTGTGCTGGCGAAGCAAGATTTAGATCGGAGCCTCCAAATTTCATAAATTTGATAAACGCTGGATAATATTTGGCACTATTTTTGTAGACCACCTGCATGAGGTATGCATTTAACATTCTGCGGAGTTAGATAGTTACCATCATTCTGGCTTTCATTGTGACTTCCTGGAAGCTTTCGAGCTAAGTCACGAGGTGAGGCCAAAAGAAAAATCGAGACTTTTTTTAAGTTTTTTCAATCACTTAAATCTTTCCAAGGCGAGTTTTGCTTCAAAATTCACAAAGAAGTTTCATTTTCAGATCATTTTAATCCACAAGTTGGCCATAGGTATTCTATGATTATTTTTTGTGGCTACTGTCTCCTTCAAGAGGCGAAGCCACATAGATATGTGTCGCGATGAATGAATGAGTGAGTGTAACAATTGAATTCCGATCTTAACACAATATTTTGACCCGACGTTAGTAACTTAGTTTTTTTTTTTCGGAGTGCATGTCTTATAAGTTCGACATTTGCACTCGATACACACTTGAGTTCTTTTGAGTTCTTTGAGTTCTTACCTTTTGTGATGTCTGGCTTACAGCCAGTAGTACATTATGTTTTCAGTTCTTGCCATGAAAATTTGGGAAGGCAGCAAAAGACAATGAGCATCTCACAGTCATTGGAGGATCGCGGGCGATTTAAAAACAAAATTTTTTCTTGCACAAATATTTTAGCAGGTTAGATCGGTGCATCGTGGAATTCAAGGAATATTTTTTCTTTAAAAGAACTCAGTTACCGTTTAATTCGGCAAATTATGTAGATCCCAAGGTATCAGTAATCTTTTCAGTTCTTGCCGTGACAAAAGTTTTGAATCATCTTTCTCTTCATCTTCGCTCCGACGAAGGGCTAACGCGCGAAACGTCAGCTTTTGCAATCGTTACGGTGGCCAATTTACCATTTCAACTTTGTTGATATATCCAAATTATTTCGTTACCCCCACCGACGCAGCCCCAAACAGTTTCTTTCGAAACTATCAGCATTTAGACTTAAGACACTCGAATGACAGACAATTTGACTCTGGTGCGAATTCCGTTAAGATTTAATCTCCAAAAAGCCGATCACTATAACACAAAAAAGTCCTTTTTTACACGTTTTTAGAGTGCACTTACTCGATAGATCAGAGCACACGATCAATCGNCTGCGCTCGGTCCGTACTGTCAAGATCTCGGGCTGATATTCTCCCAGTACGGCCCTCGCGCTTGGTTAATAAGATATATTTATTTAGAAGCGTACGCGAAAAAAACAACAACAACAAGAAATTA